ATAATGACATACACTGCACCATCAGCTCATCAGAGAGAGTTCATTATTCTCTAGTAGTAGTGACATCATATGTTTAGTGTCACTATCACATACAAACACTTGAAATGAAAAGAAGCCCTCAACTTTTGTGTATAAATTATGTATCAAATATAGCTACAAGCTATCAGGTGTCTAATGATGTGTATATTAACGTAATGTGATGTCTACTACTGTCTTTTATGGGTGTTCTAGTTATGCATATGCAGTGTAGAATTTTTGCTCTACCCACAGCAGGGTAGAGCACAGGACTGACATGAGGTAATGCCCAATGCTAAGTCTGTCCGATGCTCTCTCCTGCCGTGAATACATGGAGAGTTCTTTGTTTTCTTGGACAGGGGAGGGGGGCAGTGACTGTGACCCCCAGGAGGGGGTCACAGGGGGTACAGCCCTTTGCTTTAGACAATATAGTGACTGATCTGGTACTGTGATTACAGCAGGATTCAAGAATTCCACACTGTGCACAGGCAACTGAAACTCCCTGAATAACAGTCAACAGACATTATGATACTGTAAACATAGCCACAGCCTATCTAAAAATGTAGTAATGCCTTAATGGCAGAATTGTTTGGTGAATTAGGAAATGATACCTAACCACTGATTTCTAGGCGAAAATATGTTTTTCTGAAAGCTCTTGTGATTTTTAGAATCTAACACTCATTTCCTTCACAAACGAAACACAGCTATGGCATCAGCCAAGATATTTCTGGGGGAGGGCATGATAAGTATCAGGGAAACTGCAGGTTCAAACGAAACACAGCTATGGCATCAGCCAAGATATCTGGGGAGGGCATGATAAGTATCAGGGAAACTGCAGTGACAGTGATCGAAGTAAAACTTTTAGTAATTAAGATATTGTGAAGCTCCTTCATAGCAAATATTAGACAATATAGTGACTGATCTGGTACTGTGATTACAGCAGGATTCAAGAATTCCACACTGTGCACAGGCAACTGAAACTCCCTGAATAACAGTCAACAGACATTATGATACTGTAAACATAGCCACAGCCTATCTAAAAATGTAGTAATGCCTTAATGGCAGAATTGTTTGGTGAATTAGGAAATGATACCTAACACTGATTTCTAGGCGAAAATATGTTTTTCTGAAAGCTCTTGTGATTTTTAGAATCTAACACTCATTTCCTTCACAAACGAAACACAGCTATGGCATCAGCCAAGATATCTGGGGAGGGCATGATAAGTATCAGGGAAACTGCAGTGACAGTGATCGAAGTAAAACTTTTAGTAATTAAGATATTGTGAAGCTCCTTCATAGCAAATATTAGACAATATAGTGACTGATCTGGTACTGTGATTACAGCAGGATTCAAGAATTCCACACTGTGCACAGGCAACTGAAACTCCCTGAATAACAGTCAACAGACATTATGATACTGTAAACATAGCCACAGCCTATCTAAAAATGTAGTAATGCCTTAATGGCAGAATTGTTTGGTGAATTAGGAAATGATACCTAACACTGATTTCTAGGCGAAAATATGTTTTTCTGAAAGCTCTTGTGATTTTTAGAATCTAACACTCATTTCCTTCACAAACGAAACACAGCTATGGCATCAGCCAAGATATCTGGGGAGGGCATGATAAGTATCAGGGAAACTGCAGTGACAGTGATCGAAGTAAAACTTTTAGTAATTAAGATATTGTGAAGCTCCTTCATAGCAAATATTAGACAATATAGTGGCTGATCCAGTACTGTGATTATACAGATTTTTAGAATTCCGGGTCCAGCAGGATTGAGCCTAACTGGTCGCTATGTGGCCATTGTCATGTAATGGCCAAGTGCAAGTCCCACTGGCTCATTTGAGTTCCCTCACTTATGTCATTTGCTACAATTCCATACAATTGTTTTGTCACCTCCTCAATTTCACATTATTTTTTCTCACCACTGGAAAGGTATGTGTAGTGGAGTGCCTGGATTTTTTGAGTTTTATATCCTCTTTACTACCTTTATCATTAGTTTGCAAAGGAAATGCTATAGAAGTGTCTTAGAATGTTACGTTCTATCTAATGGCAAGGTTATATTCTTCATTTTTGGCGTTAAGTGTCATTCTTTACTTATATTAACCCAATCATGTCCCTTCACGTCAGTCAGTATCATCACTGTAGGTTGTTTGAACAAAACTACTTTTGAGGAATTAAATATACAGCAAGCTACCAAATTCAAGAGCATTAATGTTTAATCAATCTGCATAGCATAAGTTTTCAACGAGATTTCTGTAGCAATAGGTGTTAGTCTGTTTTTGGAACAACTTACCTAATAAAGGTTCTGCTTTTGCATTTTGCTTTAGATGTACATCACCAATTAAACATTTCCTCTTCTTTAATGTAGGTGTGATAGGTGTTTCGGTTTCTTCTGTTAGTGAAGAGTCCATTTTGTCACGGTATTACGTCCCAGAGACAGTCCCACAGCGACGAACCGAAGGGATTCACGTGTAGTTGGTGTTTACATGTAAAGGGAAGGGATAATAAGTATAAAATGAGTTAGTCAAGTTATATAAAGAGTAGTAAAGAGATTATTTTACAAATAACAAATATCTTACTTTTTATAATGCAAAAAAAAAAAAATCGTGATATGTATCGTTGCAGACTTACAATCCCTCTGAATATGAATTTAAATATGCCCTCAGATCAGTACATTAGGGCGAGCTTTATTTTAGTCTGTATGTTGGGATTCACATTTCAAGTGCGAGTCATTTAATAACCTGAAGATCCTCTCTCTATGTATGATTAATAATAGCGATTATTTATATGGTGCCTTTTCTTATTTCCCTCACTTCCTTATGATAAAATTATACACGTCAACTTCAATTTCCTACCAACTTACAACTCAGTTTCTATAATCCTGTGACTCCTTTCATGTCCATCACTTCATCAAAGATAATACATTTTCTTGTTTGTAGCCGTGGCTAGTATCCACAATGGGCGGGCACCTGGTGAACACAACTGAGTACAGCAGGAATTGCCACTGAGCAAGCGGAGCTCAGGGTCATTTCAATGCCACAGAAGTCAGTAAGGTAGTATGTGCATAAAAAATATGTAGTTATGATAATACAATTGGAAATTACGACGGGAGAACATTCCCCTTCCTAACAATGCCGCTGGTTGTCTCAGATGGGTTACTCTAATTGCCGACGGGCGCCGCCGGGCACCGACGGGAGCCGCCGGGAACCGACGGGCTGCCGACGGGACATGAATTAATGATTCATCATAAGTTATTTTCATATTTTAAGGTGGAAATAAAGGTTTGGGCACTTCTGCCTAAATAAATAATATAATGGGGACATTATCATTATAGATTAAGGACTGACCCAGAAAAGTGTACATTTGGCGGAAAGTGGTGGTCAATGGATTTCAATAAAACTTTGGAGATCTGTAAAGTAATACGGTGGCTTTTTGTATGTTTCCTGATATATATACTGCCTCGTCGGGGACATCAGATTAAGCCCTCAGACGTCGCTATATCGGGGCTAGACCATCAGGTACTAAGGCAAAATTATCATTCACCCTGCATTCACCTTATCAAATCATACAGGAGGTTTCCATAGAAACCCCATGTTGTTATAATAAAATCCCAGAAACGGCCACTCTACAAAGCCAAATGGTGGAGGAGGAACCATCCAGGAATACAGGATGGTTCTCCAGTCCCCTGCTATATTAATTATTCTTCCCTAGAAACTAGTAGGCCTACCCCTACCAGATCTTTTTTTAAAAAAGCAAACCTAAAAAATGTGATTTTGAGTTCACAGGTCCTTATCTTTAGAAGCATCCACAAATGGCAGTGAAATGAAACTTTGTATTGAGGGTGGACAAGAGTTAACTCCAACAGAGTCGCAGTCAAAGAGGAGTAGTCTACCGGTACTCTAATCATGCAGAGAACACTATGTACAATTTTACGCTACTAGGCTACAAATTAGCCCGTCGGTGCCCGTCCATGGCCCGTCGGCAATTAGAGATACCGGTCTCAGATTTGCTATAAGGGGCACCTTATTTAGGGGCTTTGTATGCCATTCCAAGACACCCTTAACTGATACCGTTCTTAATACTCATGTTTGATTAGACATCTAACCAAATTCTTTCGATATTCTTATTCAGTGCCAGGTGCGAGGAGGGAAGAATCGCCTACTTACTACTGTTCTGTGCTTACAATATCAATCAACACAAGTGCCTTGTTTGCTCCATGGAACTTAAAATGGGCTTTTGAAAAAAAAAAAAAAATCGTGATATGTATCGTTGCAGACTTACAATCCCTCTGAATATGAATTTAAATATGCCCTCAGATCAGTACATTAGGGCGAGCTTTATTTTAGTCTGTATGTTGGGATTCACATTTCAAGTGCGAGTCATTTAATAACCTGAAGATCCTCTCTCTATGTATGATTAATAATAGCGATTATTTATATGGTGCCTTTTCTTATTTCCCTCACTTCCTTATGATAAAATTATACACGTCAACTTCAATTTCCTACCAACTTACAACTCAGTTTCTATAATCCTGTGACTCCTTTCATGTCCATCACTTCATCAAAGATAATACATTTTCTTGTTTGTAGCCGTGGCTAGTATCCACAATGGGCGGGCACCTGGTGAACACAACTGAGTACAGCAGGAATTGCCACTGAGCAAGCGGAGCTCAGGGTCATTTCAATGCCACAGAAGTCAGTAAGGTAGTATGTGCATAAAAAATATGTAGTTATGATAATACATTTGGAAATTACGACGGGAGAACATTCCCCTTCCTAACAATGCCGCTGGTTGTCTCAGATGGGTTACTCTAATTGCCGACGGGCGCCGCCGGGCACCGACGGGAGCCGCCGGGAACCGACGGGCTGCCGACGGGACATGAATTAATGATTCATCATAAGTTATTTTCATATTTTAAGGTGGAAATAAAGGTTTGAGCACTTCTGCCTAAATAAATAATATAATGGGGACATTATCATTATAGATTAAGGACTGACCCAGAAAAGTGTACATTTGGCGGAAAGTGGTGGTCAATGGATTTCAATAAAACTTTGGAGATCTGTAAAGTAATACGGTGGCTTTTTGTATGTTTCCTGATATATATACTGCCTCGTCGGGGACATCAGATTAAGCCCTCAGACGTCGCTATATCGGGGCTAGACCATCAGGTACTAAGGCAAAATTATCATTCACCCTGCATTCACCTTATCAAATCATACAGGAGGTTTCCATAGAAACCCCATGTTGTTATAATAAAATCCCAGAAACGGCCACTCTACAAAGCCAAATGGTGGAGGAGGAACCATCCAGGAATACAGGATGGTTCTCCAGTCCCCTGCTATATTAATTATTCTTCCCTAGAAACTAGTAGGCCTACCCCTACCAGATCTTTTTTTAAAAAAGCAAACCTAAAAAATGTGATTTTGAGTTCACAGGTCCTTATCTTTAGAAGCATCCACAAATGGCAGTGAAATGAAACTTTGTATTGAGGGTGGACAAGAGTTAACTCCAACAGAGTCGCAGTCAAAGAGGAGTAGTCTACCGGTACTCTAATCATGCAGAGAACACTATGTACAGTTTACGCTACTAGGCTACAAATTAGCCCGTCGGTGCCCGTCCATGGCCCGTCGGCAATTAGAGATACCGGTCTCAGATTTGCTATAAGGGGCACCTTATTTAGGGGCTTTGTATGCCATTCCAAGACACCCTTAACTGATACCGTTCTTAATACTCATGTTTGATTAGACATCTAACCAAATTCTTTCGATATTCTTATTCAGTGCCAGGTGCGAGGAGGGAAGAATCGCCTACTTACTACTGTTCTGTGCTTACAATATCAATCAACACAATTGCCTTGTTTGCTCCATGGAACTTAAAAAGGGCTTTTGAAAAAAAAAAATCTCCTGTCCTTACCAGACGACCAACCTCGATTAGATCTTTCCAAGTGAAGATATTTGCACGTAACCTTAGGGGTATACTAAGGGATTTGCCATAATGGTGATAGTAATACAGTGCTAGTGTGGGTAATGATAAATGTGGCAGCTTGGAGCAGTTGTGTGTAAGCCTCCTTTGCCAGTACATAGCCTCTCCATCGTCAAGACAGTGGCCCTCGTGGCCATTCACGGGAACCAAACTGCGGAGGATCTTGGAGGAGCAGGACAACGTCTATATAAGTACTTATATAGACCTTGGAACAGGAGTCCCTAGAGATACATAGACTTAGATTAATGGAAGACTTTAGGGAGGCAGGCCTTGCCAATGCGCTTTCCCGAGAAAACCTACTGACAATTATTACAAATAAATGGAAAGCCTTGCACTGAAAGGAACTAAAGTGATATGGCTTCCCTCACAAAGGGGAGATCTGGCGATTGCATGATTTCTGAAGGTGTTTACATCTGTTACTGGTCAGGCTGCAGCGGTGGTAACGATCAAGGGGCAGTAGCCTTTTGTTAGCTTTCAGCAATAGAGGCAATTGCAGTCGATGAACGTTCAATGGTACCGAGATTGAGCATGCATTTGCATGCATATCTGGTTTTGATCGAGCTGACTACAAGATGTCTGTGTGTCCCAGTGGCTCAGGAACTGATACCAGTACTGAGAAGAGTTTCTTTCCCCGTGGCTTTGCTAAATCCTCGAGATTGAAGATTGACTTCTGATACAAGGGCTCTAACCTGCGTCACTGGGCATGGTACAATGATACAAATAATGTTACCAAAGAGATCGACCACACCTTTGTTAATCTAAAAATCGCCGGAGGATCTTCCAGAATTGCAGGTCTTACCTGTGTTGAGTTTTGTGGTACCTACCATATACTGATCGTGGTTACCCTCGGGTCCACTTCAGAGATCCCATCTTTCCAGTAACTACTTAGGGTATTTCACTTCGACAGACTGAGGGAAGAAGTGTGACTGGAGGTTTGCGAGGCAGTTTTAGGTCGTTTCACAACTCGCTACAACTAGACAGACCGTGTATTTGCATCGACCCCTGACGCCTATAACCCAGACACTTTTGAGAGGGTAAAGGAACGGCATGTCAAGAACTGCCTACCAGCCCTTGAGAAAATTCTGCAGACCCTTCACTGACGTCTACAGTCTGCCGAGTAGAATGCTCAGGTTAATACAGATCAAGTTGGTTTTGGAGAAAGTTAAGCCGAGTGCTTTCAGCAGAAGTAAGGAAGACCATATCCAAAATCAATCATAGTATAGCAAGTCTCTGCGGCATCGCATCTTAAATGCTAAAGGCTGGTAATGAATCCATGGCTCGTTGACAGTATGCTAAGCTGGATGCCATCTGGCAGCCCAGTGCCGTTTCCGTAGACTGGGTGTGGGGTATGGTCATCCCTTTCTCAAAAACAACAGGCGATTGGTAGGCCTGCAGTATTTACTGGAGCATTACACTGATCAGCATACCAGGCGCTCATCCTTCTAAAGCAGCATATATTGGAGCAATCTGCATTAATTTCTGGCAAGTCCACAACAGA